CATTAAAGAAATTAGAGAAGATGTTGGTCAAATGTAAAAAAACAAGCATATATATTTACCCTGAAAAATAACCCAACTCTAAAACAACTTAACCTTAACCCTCTGTCGATCGCTAAATTCTTTTACCAAAATTTAGGAGAAAGAGGGGTCGAACAGCCTTTTATCCATCCCGCACTTTACCTAACTTACCGAGAATTCTTAAAAAAAGACCACATTAGTCTCTTTAAAGAAGAATTTGAAGGTTGAGAAACTACTCCGGTGCTTCCTAGTGTTTATGCTTACTTAGAAAAAAATAAAAAATTAAACTTTCACCAAGTTCCTGATATTACCAATGAAATGGTTATTCACCATTTAGAAAATATTTGTCATCGTTATCAGCGAAAATACAAAAATGGGGAAACCGAATTATTTACTTGTGATTTACAATTTAAGGCTAACAAATTAGCTGGTAATTTATAATTCATTCTCATTTATGTTATTTTCTTTTGAGTGATTAATTACTAAGTGCATTTCTGATCCAACTTTTACTAATCGTTTAGAAAAAAACAAAGTCCGTGGCATGTTAAGCAGAATACTAAAAAAATTTACGGAATATTCAGCTTATACCTTGGAGCAACTAAAAGAGAATGACCGGCATTTCCGCTTTATCTCTAATGAAAGACAAAAAGAGTTAGTTATTGAGAAAATTAGTAAAAATCACTGAGATAGAAAAAATATTTGTGCCTTGTTAAGAGTTAGTCAAATTTGTCAATTATCCTTAGGTTCCGAAGAAGAAAGAATAATTGGGATTATTAGGAGAATTAATGTTTCTCAAAGAAATCCCGAAAGAAATCATTTATTTTGACCTTTACACTTAGATTTTGAACATGCTCGTCATCCTAATTTAAAGAAAAAAGATCTTAGTAAACTTGATTTGGTTTGTATTTTGGAAGAGGGAGATTGTCACTAAAACTTTTTCTAAACTCAAAATCAGTCCAAAAAACTTTCCACAAAATAGGACAGAATGAGGAAACCAAGCCCTAAAATATCCTTAACTTTCCACCAAATCAAAAAGTAATTAGTAAAGAATAGATTGAAATGTGTAAAATTATATTATGACCGAATTAAGACAAGTTGACAACAAAAAAATTTTACAGGAACTAAAAAACCGAGTAAGAGAAAACAAAATAAGCGAGGGGGAAGTTTTTCAGGTCTTAGAAAAACCTAGTAAGTTTGAAGTAATTAACCGCTGTGAAAAAATGGATTTAAAAAATCTAACTAAAGAAGATTGAAAAAAAGCCTTTCATGAATTAGAAAAGAGCAAAAATTATCAGGAAGAAGTAAAGTTGTGAGAAGCGGTTGATGATGAGTAAAAAAATGTTAGAAATCAGCCAACTTGTCCATTTGGTTTGTGAATTAGAAGAAAGTCATGCTAAAAACCAATAAAAAATCTTTAACCTTATATCATTTGCTATTTTTTTAAAATAATATTATACCCATGGAACCAATTATCATTAAAAGTTCATCAATTTCTATTTCACCCCAAAAAATGAATCTAGTGGCCGGAATAATTCGCAGAAAAGATTTAGATTATTCTTTAAAAACACTGGAATTTTTGCCAAAAAAAGGGGGACGAATACTTCATAAGTTATTGCAAGGAGCGGCTAAAAATTTGGAAAAAAGTCAAGAAAGTTTAAGTAATTTTTACCTTAGTAAGATTGAAGTAAACCAAGGAAAAACCCAAAAAAGAGCAATATATCGAGCCAAGGGTCGAACTAATCGGATTAGAAAAAGAAGCAGTTTAATTAATTTATATCTAAGTAAGAAAGAGGTGGTCGCCAAGGTAAAGCCGACCAAAACACTAAAATAGATAATATAGAATATTAAATTATTAAAAATATGGTAAAAGAAAAAATCGCTCGTTGTGGAAGTTGCCAACAAGACATTAATTATATTTCCGCTATTAACCGCTGACCTGGATTAGGTGCTAGAACAGAGAAAGGGACTTGATGTTTCGGTTGTTTTAAAAACATTTCTCGTTGTCAAGTGTGTGAAAAATCAGTAGCGCGCGTGGAATATAACAAGCATAAACCTGATCCAAGATTGCATTGAACTGTTAAACCTGCTAATGGATTTGGTCAACATCAAAAGTTTATTTGCTCCCAAAATTGCTTGAATAAACATTCGTCTGAGAAAGAACACAAACGCCAAGAAAGATTGAGCCAAGGCTGAAAAGAATGTGAAGGGTGTGTGGAAAAATACGCCGGAATAATTAAGAAGTATAATTTAAATCGATTTAAACTAAAATTGGTTCCACCTGGACAAAAATTCTGTGGTAATTATGATTATGCGGGAAAAGGAGGTTGTAGAGAAGCAGAAGAAATAGGAAAGCCAGCCCGCCAGCGAGCCGAAGTCCAAGCTCAAGATTATTGAAATTCACTTTCACGAGAGCAAAAATTACAAGAAATTGACAGATTAGATAGTGTATTTACCGCAAAATGATATGGAAAAAATTATACTGCCGAAGAAATTACTGCTTGAGAAAAATGTCCGCCAGACATAGTAGAAGAGTTTTGTCGTCACGAAATGGGCGAAAGTTGAGAAGAAATAAAGAAAAAAAACAATTCACGAGTTGCTAAAAATCGAGCATTAACTTCCTCTGAGCCAACCACCGGTAACCAGGTGACTAAAAAACAAGTTGAATTACGAAAACTTAAAGAAAAAAATGGTGATAATTCAGAGGAAATCCACAAGTTAGAACGAGAAATTGAAAAATTATTAAAGGTTGAAAAGGTCAATTCTACTAGTGAAAATCCAACTAAAAATAATAAAGTAATCGTTTACTCAATTATTGGATTTTTGTTGTTGATTTTAATCGGATTCATCATTGTGTTAGTAAAACCGAAGCGAAAAAACCCTAAAATTAAATAATAATGGCACAGAAAGCAAGTCCCTACGCAATCCGTTTAGGTTATAATCAAACTTGAAATACTTTTTTTTTTGCTAAGCAAAAAGAGGAACGAATTAATTTATTGAGAAAGGATAAATTGATGCGTGATTACCTTTACTCACTCTTTCCCGATATTTGCCGGTTAAAAACTGAGTATAGCGGGAGTAAAATAACCGTTTATCTTTATATACCTGAAATTAGTCTAGTGCTAGGGGGAATTTCTATATAGTCAAGATGGGATCTCCCTAAGGAAAACTCTAATTTTTTTTCCTTTAAAGTTACTTTATATCCTACTCCTTTCACTTCAACCACACTTTCATGACCTTCTACCACTCCCTTTATTAGATTAGAAATTAAAGCATTATAAGTACCGGCCAAAGCAGAGTTAACCGATTTGGTGCTTAACTTATTTTCTTGATTAGTAATTTCTAAATCAGCGGGAAGAGGCATTTCTTCACTTTTCCCTAATGGACCTTCGGCAGAAATCGTCCCCTTTCCTAAATTAATTTTTACTTTTTCTGGTATAGAAATAATTCGATCCGCGATTTTTGACATACTTTAATTAATTTTAAAACTTTTAGTTAATGAAAAGGATAACCTTACCACCTTGATTTTGAACTAAGGCTTCACGATGAGTTAATAAGGGAGTTTCAGGAAGCGAAGTAGAGATAAGGTAAACGCCGCGATGATGACAATATTTTTTTATTTCCTTGGCTTTTAAATGAATATGTTGCGAAGGTTTAGAAATCTTTTTTATTTGGTGAATACGACTATTTTGATTATTATACTTGATATCGACCTTAATTTTTCATTTTTTTTCTTCTTTTTTATCAATTCAGCATTGAGAGAAAAAACCGCAGTCTTCCAACTTTTTACAAGTTTTCCACTTAAAAGAGGAGTAGGGAAAGACAACTGTCTTATAACCCCTCATATTAGCATTGCGGATAGCGGTTAGCATGTTAGCAACTGGATCAGATAACGTCATATATTATTATTTTTTTACTTTTCGGTTTTTAATTATCCGATAAACTATAATTATGCTCCCCAAAATTAACCCAATTATTCCGGCTCCGATAACTACTTTGACTGGCAAAGAAAGTTTGTTTTCGTCAGTAAAAAGTGACTGGTGTTTTGCTTTCTCCTCTTGTATTTTTTTTTCAATTTCTTGCTGATAAGATTTGGCTTCGGCGATAGATTTCATATTCATTAATTTTTCTTGGTAATCCTTAGGAACTAAATCGGTGACTTTATGATTTTTGGTTAATTTAGCAATTTCTAATTTTAACTCAAAAATAATTTTTATTATTTCCATTTCTTTATCCCCATTATTTTCCCGCTCTTTTTTATTATTTTTTTTTCAATTTCAATCGCCTTCCAATACT